TTGTATACAGATGTGGAGAATTTATGCCAGGAGAGCTGCCCCTTGGGCTTGTGATGTGCTGTTTAGACAAGAATAGAAAACACTCTCCCATCTTTATTTTCCTTGTTAGGTTATGTCTTTCCATTTTTTTTCATTGTTATTTATTTTGAGGCTAGATGAAGCCTAGTGCCTCCTTCTGCTCTGCTTATTATATTGGCTGTAATGTTGATTTCCAAGAAAAATGATATGATCAAATCAGACTTCATCTTATTGTCCTTAAAAAATAAAAAAAGGGAGACAGAAATTATTACCATATTTTGACTTGGTGGAACAGCATGGATCCTGAGATGTAATTGTTGATCATTAAACCATCTAAATCTCTTTTAAGGTATTTTGTATTATAATTTTATCTGTTTACCTGAAGCACATAGATTAATTAACTACAAGGTGAATTTGATAGGAATTGTCTGACAGGGGAGTTAGTGGTATCTGAAGAATAAATCTAGGCTCTTCTGTCCCAGACCAGCATATCTTAGCTAATAATGATAGTGCTACCCAAAACCAAACCAAGCTCATTGCTGTTGAGTTGATTCCAACTCACAGTGACCTTATAGGACAGAGTAGAACTACCTCATAGAGTTTCCAAGGGGCGGCTGGTGGGCTCAAACAGCTGACCTTTTGGTTAGCAGCCTAGCTCTTAACCGTGCCACCAGGGCTCCAATGGTAGTGCTAAAAACCAAAAACACCAAACCTGTTGCCGTTGAGTTGATTTCAACTCATAGCGACCCTATAGGACAAAGTAGAACTGCCCCATAGGGTTTCCAAGGAGCAGCTGGTGGATTTGAACTGCCAACCTTTTGGTTAGCAACCGAGCTCCTGGCTAACCATTTTTCATGCAACATTTCATTAAATCCTTAGAACAACTCCATGAAGTAGGTACCATTATCATCTTCATTTTTCAGATGGGAAAACTGGAACGCAGATAATTTTTTTTATGGTTCTAGAGCAGGGGTTCTGAGGAGCTCTGGTGGTGCAGTGGTTAAACTGTTCAGCTGGTAACCAAAAAGTCAGCTGTTTAAACCCACCAGTTGCTCCACGGGTGGAAGATGTGGCAGTCTACTTCCATAAAGATTTATAGCTTTGGAAATCCTGTAGTGTCCCTATAAGTTGGAATAGACTTTTTTTTTGGTTAAATCAGGGGTTGGCAAACTTTGTCTGTAAAGGGCGTCTTAAGTAGTAGCAAGTAGTTTAGGCTTTGCACTCAGCTCTGCTGTTGTTACGCTGAAGTGGCCATTGTTGCTGTTAGAGGCCTTCCAATTAGCTCCTGACTCATGATGATCCTATGCACAACAGAATGAAATGCTGCCCAGTTCTGTGCCATCCCCATGAGAAGATGCAGATCAAACTATTGTGAGTCATAGAATTTTCACGGACTGATTTTTGGAAGTAGATCACCAGACCTTTCTTCCTAGTCTGTCTTAGTCTGGAAGCTCCATTGAAACCAGCATCATAACAACATGCAAGTACCACTAACAAATGATATATAAACAAATGAAGGTGACTGTGTTCCAGTAAAGCATTGTTATGGACACTAAATTTGAATTTCATATAGTTTCCTTGTGTCACAAAATATTGCTATTCTTTTTTTTAACCTTTTAAAAATATAAAAAATATCCTTTGCTCATGGACTGTACAAAAACAAGTGGTGGGCTTGATTAGTTTAATGACCCCTGATCTAGTTGATGAGAGTATGCAGGGAAGGAGCGATAGAGTAGGATGGTTGTTGTTTTGTTAGGTGCTGTCAAGTCGGTTCCAACTCATAGCGAGCTTATGCACGACAAAACGAAACACTGCCCCATATTACGGCATGTTCACAATCGTTGTTATGCTTGAGCCCATTGTTGCAGGCACTGTGTCAATCCATCTTGTTGAGGGTCTTCCTCTTTTTTGCTGACCCTCTACTTTACCAAGCATGATGTCCTTCTCCAGGGACTGATCCCTCCTGACAACATGTTCAAAGTATGTAAGATGAAGTCTTGCCATCCTTCCTTCTAAGGATCATTCTGGTTTTACTTCTTCTAAGACAGATTTGTTCGTTCTTTTGGCAGTCCATGGTATATATTCAGTATTCTTTGCCAACACCATAATTCAAAGGCGTCAGTTCTTCAGTCTTCCGTATTCATTGTCCAGCTTTTGCATGCGTATGATGCGATTGAAAACACCATGGCTTGGGTCAGGTGCACCTTAGTCTTCAAGGTGACATCTTTGCTTTTTAACACTTTAAAGAGGTCTTTTGCAGCAGGTTTTCCCAGTGTAATGTGTCTTTTGATTTCTTGACTGCTGCTTCCATGGGTGTTGATTGTGGATCCGAGTAAAATGAAATCCTTGACAACTTCAATCTTTTCTCTGTTTATCATGATATTGCTTATTGGTCCAGTTGTGAGGATTTTTGTTTTCTTTATGTTGAGGTGTAATCCCTACTGAAGGCTGTGGTCTTTGATCTTCACCAGTAAGTGCTTCAACTCTTCTTCCCATTCAGCAAGCAAGGTTGTGTCATCTGCATACTGCAGGCTGTTAATGAGTCTTCCTCCAATCCTGATGCCCCATTCTTCTTCATATAGTCCAGTTTCTCAGATTATTTGCTCAGCATACAGACTGAATAGGTATGGTGAAAGGATGCAACCCTGATGCACACCTTTCCTGACTTTAAACTATGCAGTGTCCCCTTGTTCTGTTCGAACAACTGCCTCTTGATCTGTGTACAGGTTCCTCATGAGCACAATTAAGTGTTCTGGAATTTCCATTCTTCGCAATGTTATCCATAATTTGTTATGATCCACACAATCAAATCAAATGTAGGATAGGGGTGGTAGGAAGATCACTCCCACCAGAGGGAACAATGGGTGTGCAGGGGGCAGAGAACGAGCAGTATTTGAGGAAATGTAATAGATGCAAGTACAGTTTGATAGGGCATGAGGGAGAATGACTCAAGATCAGAGGAGACAGGACCAAATCATGACTTTGTTTGCCATTTTAAGATTTTGGACTTTGTTCTTAGAGTAATGGAAGCCATTAAATGTATTAAGCAAAGGAGTGACAAGTGCAATTTATCTTTTTAAAGGATCATTGGCTGATGTGTGGAGAATGGATTGCAGTGGTAAGAGTAGAAGCAGAAGAACCATTTAGGAGGCTTGAAGAGTGGACCAGGTGGATGATGGTGGTATCCACTAGACAGAACCAATCCTGAGGACAATGTTTTTAGGCTGTCATGATGACACTTGTTTTGCAGATAAGGAAATGTAGTTTGGAGAGATTAAATGTCTTGACTAGTGATACAGCAAGTAGAGGTAGAGGGAAGATTAAAACCCTGGTCTTCTAACTCAAATCCAGTGCTATTCCCTATGTGTTATGAAATTCTTAACATTCTCAAAGGAAAATTATGTTGATCCTAATCCACACCATTTATCTCTGACCCCTACAACCAAAGAGCTACTCCTTCTAATAGTACTTCTTAGGTTTGAGTTGTTAATTTTCTTTTCCTGAGGAAATTTATTTCATGGCTGAGAAAAATAACCTCTTTTTCAAAGTGAAAAGGGCAAACATGATACTGTGGTAAGAGTCTTATGATTTGTGTGTGTGTGTGTGTGTGTGTGTGTGTGTGTGCTGAGGATAGAAAGCTAACTGAACACTTACGGAAAATAAAGGTCAGCTCTTCTTATAATAATCTGTGTAGCTTTATTTCCCAAATGAGAATTGGCATCTTCATTTCTACCTTTGGAGGAGTGATTTGTCTGACTGGCTGCTCAGGATTGTACAGCTCTGGATTAGAGCACCTTGATGCAGGGGTTAGATTCTCTTTCTTTGGGGTCCAAGGCTGAGGATGGGGGAAGAAGGGATGAGGGAAGGTGAGATGCCTGCTTTGGGACAAGGTGGTGACGGTGGTGATTTTACCTGAGCTTTCCTGGGATTGTGCCCTAGAGGAGGTGTCTGGTGGTTCTGATCTGTGGTGGGAGAAGGGGAATTCCAGAAAGCTTGGGGGAGGGGCAGTGGTGATGTCTGCTCAGTGAATCTTGGTTCCAGCTGCTAGTTCATTTAAATGATCCCTATATTACTGTTATTTGTTAGTTTGTCTCCCTTTCCCCATTATAAAGAAAGGTCTGGGGAGTCATGCTCTGTGTCTTAGGTGTCTTTGCCTACCCCATAGTGTCTTGCACACAGTAGATGCTCAGTATTGAACAGTGGCTCCATTGAATTGTCACCTTTGGCATTTGTGCTGCATAGTGCAGCCTCTGTTCCCAAAGAAGTCATAATTTTCTAGTTTAAAGTAATCACAGTTGGCAAAGAAGATATTTGGAAAATCCTGAAAACAAGACACATTTCAGAATAAGCATCAGACAAGATGCAGACTTCTATTGAGGGTCTTCAATATGCAGCCCTCATTATTCCAACTCTTGTTGTCCACGTCTCCTTTCTGTGCCCCATTTCATCAGACTTAGGTTGCACGTCTTTATTGTTGCATAGTAGATGCTCAAGTCGTTTATACTGAGGTAGTTTATTTCTGATTGTGACTTTATTGATTCTTTGTAGGTTCTTTACATTCTCATGCAGGTATAAATTGTGAGGCTAAAGCTGTAAGCTCAGAGATTTTGATGTATTCTCTCCCTCCTTCCCTTCTTACTTAAGTTGCCATGAATCAGAATTGACTTGATGGCAATGAGTTTGGTTTTAGTTTATTTGCCAGATACTGGGTTAGGTCCTGGGGGGCAAAAACAACAAAAGGCATAGTGTCTGATTTCAAATACATTCCAGTCTAATGGACAGAAAAAAATGAATAATGGCCAGATGGTATGAGGTAAAACCAATGTGTGGGCAGCTGATTAGGGCCTCTTCCTGGCCTAGTGGATAGGACCTCCCTGGGGCCTTTGCCTGCTGAACTCCGGAACGTGGTCGGGAGCAATTAGAGTAACTATGGGTTGTGGATGAATTAACAGGTTCTGCCCTTTCTTTCTTTATTTGTGCAGGGTAGAGATGTCTGTCCAGAGGTTAATTTCTAATAGAACCTCCCAACAGTCTGCATCTAATTCTGATTACACCTGGGAATATGAGTATTATGAGATTGGACCAGTTTCCTTTGAAGGACTGAAGGCCCATAAATGTAAGTCTTATACAGTTCCACACTGTAAGCACGATATGTGTTTGCTTTCCTCTCTGAAATCTCAAGTGATTCATTCTCCTCTTGCAGAAATCTGCCCTCTACCTCTTGTTGTTTTTAGGTGCTGTCGGTTTGTCGTAATGTGGGGGCTTGCATGCTGCTTTGATGCTGGAAGCTATGCCACTGGTATTTAAATACCAGCAGGGTCACTCATGGCAGACAGGTTTCAGCTGAGCTTCCAGACTAAGACAGACTAGGGAGAGGCACCTGGCGGTCTACTTCTGAAAAGAATTAGCCAGCGAAAACCTTAGGAATAGCAGCAGAACATTGTCTGATATAGTGTGCAAAGATGAGCTCCTCGGGTTGGAAGGCATTCAAAATGCGACTAGGGAAGAGCTGCCTCCTCAAAGTAGAGTCGACCTTAATGACGTGGATGGAGTCAAGCTTTCGGGACCTTCATTTGCTGATGTGGCACGACTCAAAATGAGAAGAAACAGCTGCAAACATCCATTAATAATTGGAACGTGGAATGTACGAAGTATGAATCTAGGACAATTGGAAATTGTCAAAAATGAAATGGAACGCATAAAGATTGATATCCTAGGCATTAGTGAGCTGAAATGGACTGGTATTGGCCATTTTGAATCAGACAATCATATGGTCTACCATGCTGGGAATGACAACTTGAAGAGGAATGGCGTTGTAGTCATCGTCCAAAAGAACATTTCAAGATCTATCCTGAAGTACAACGCTGTCAGTGATAGGATAATATATGTACACCTACAAGGAAGACCAATTAATATGACTATTATTCAACTTTACACACTAACCGCTAAGGCCAAAGATGAGGAACTTGAAGATTTCTACCAACTTCCGCAGTCTGAAATTGATCACACGTGCAATCAGGATGCATTGATAATTACTGCTGATTGGAATGTGAAAGTTGGAAACCAAAAAGAAGGATCAGTAGTTGGAAAATAGGGCCTTGGTGATAGAAATGATGCCGGAGATCGCATGACAGAATTTTGCAAGACCAACAACTTCTTCATTGCAAATACCCTTTTTCACCAACATAAAGTGACTATACGCGTGGACCTCGCCAGATGGAATACACAGGAATCAAATGGACTACATTTGTGGAAAGAGACGATGGAAAAGCTCAATATCATCAGCCAGAGCAAGGCCAGGGGCCTTCAATCGCTCATATGCAAGTACAAGTTGAAACTGAAGAAAATTAGAACAACTCCACGAGAGCCAAAGTAAGATCTTGAGTATATTCCACTTGAATTTAGAGACCACTCAAGAATTGATTTGATGCGTTAAACACTAATGACTGAAGACCAGGTGAGTTGTGGAATGACATCAAGGACATCATACATGAAGACAGCAAGAGGTCATTAAACAGATAGGAAAGAAAGAAAAGACTGCTACTGTAAAGCCCCACAAAACACCCCCTCCACACACAGGATGGTTGCTTGGGGATGGTATTACCTGGGGCCCTTCGTGATTCGAAACGAAGAGGTTCTTGAAAGATTCCCTTAGTAGGGAAATGTAAATCAGTGTCAATCTCAGATAGTTTTTTTTTTTTTTTCAAATTTTGGTGAAAATATACACAGCAAAACAGACAGTCATTCATCAATTTTTACAGGTGAATTCAATAACATTGATTATGTTCTTCACATTGTGTCACCGTTCTCAGTTATGTCTACCCATATTGTTATACGACTATTGGCTTAGACTCACTACCCCTTAAACTTCTCATCTATGCTTTAGAGTTACTGTTGGTAATTTGGTCTCCTATAGACAATTCTTTAAAAAGCACAATTCTCATGGCAAACGTTCTTTACTAGTTTAGCTTGAGTTTTTTTTGTTTAAGCCGTAAGCATCCCACTTCCTTCAACTGTGTGAAAGTTTATACTGTCTAAAAACAGGTACAGAAATAGAATCTGGAACTCTTATTTGAAGAACCTTCTTTTGTAACACATAATCGATGGCATCCTTCCAACCCCGTTAGTTCTCTGTAGCTGTGAGGAGCAGTCTGTGTGTGTTCATCATGACTGACAAGAATAGCCTGCCATCATTCCTAACTCTGTGTCATTGGCATGGATTGTGTTCACGTTATTGGAGTGATTATTGATCCAGCACAGATCAAGGAAATGTAATTCTGTGAAAGGTTGCTACCTAACTCCAGTCATGGCTGCGTGCTGATCGGCCAGCATGAAGCATCCTTGTCTCATTAAGTACAGTTGACATAATAGGCTGGAGCTGCTGCCCACTCCCAGGCCCTGTCTTGGTTGCCCCATAAATATCCCTGAGATATTCTGTTGTTTCAGAATGTGTATCAACGGCACCATAAAAGTTTTAGGTGCTTAATAGGTCCAGATGAATGGGACGGATTAGCAAATACCAGAGACATTAGAATTGGTGATGCAAATGCATCAAAGGAAATGCCTCTACTTCCTACCATTTTCCTGGCCACTGCCACTCAGACCTGGCTTGGCACTCATGACCTCCTATACCTGTTATTGCTCCCCTGCAGGGGGATACTTTCTGTTTTTTGTTCCTAACATAAAGCATTGACTACACCACATTTAGTAATAGTAATAATTAAACATTTAATAATTAAATAGTAATAATTAAACATTTTCACCCATTCTTTTGTTGACATCTGCTCGGTACTTCTTTGCGGAAAGAGAAAAGCATATGGAATGCATTAGGATATACTGTTATTGATTATTAGCTGGAAGACTGTTGGTGTCAGCCTGTAAAATTACCCTCCTTAATTTACTTATGTTTGTACATAAGGTTCCTATGAGTTGGAACCGACTCCACAGCACCTAACGACAATAACAGCAATTTACTTAAATTCTTTAGTCTTTTTCTTTCTGGGATACCAGTTAGGTAAGGGCATTCGCTTGTTACGAATTATAGTGGAAATCAATGTGACTAAGAAAATTGTCATATATTCCTGCTAAGAGCTCAGCTGATAACCAAAAGATCGGCAGTTCAATCTACCAGCCGCTCCTTGGAAACCCCGTAGGGCAGTTCTACTCTGTCCTATAGGGTTGCAATGAGTCGGAATTGACTCGACAGCAACAGGGTTTAATGTGGGCTTTTACAGCTTGGTGACACAAATTTTATTTTTGTGTCAGTCTGCTCCTGTCTCTTTTCGTTAGTTTCAGGGGTACAAAAGACAGAGGTACTGCTATAATTTTGGTTGGTATATTTCCAGAGACAGATGAGAAAAATATTTTAAGAACACATTTACCAATGATTTTAGCTGGAAAAATTCCTGCAAAATATTTGCATAGAAGTGAACATTACATCCTTACTTTACTTACCATACAGTTAATAAGGGGGTGATTTTGTTAATTTTAGCATTTACATCATGAAAAAAACAAAAAATACCAAAGTGAGCACTTACTGTTCTGGTATAAGAGAACTGATGAAAGTAGAGAGCCTTAGCTTCAGGAACCTGACAGTATATGAGACCCATAAAACAACAAAAACAGTAACAGCAAAAAACCCAGGCATACAGGAAAATGTAAAGATTAAGTCAACTATTGCAGTGTGTACGTTGGTGCAGTCTTTTCCATTTAAAAATGCTGTGATTCTGAGCCTCAAGTGTGTCTCCTTGTTTTCTGAGCAGAATATCAAGCCAGTTAGGTGCAATTTCGAAACAATAAAAGCAAGACTTTCAGGGTGAAGCTCTTACAGAGGATAGGCATGAACATAACATTTATCTTCATTTGCTTTGCCTGTTATGAATAATATTTGGCAACAGTAGTTACATTTTAATGTCTGACTAAGTTTCTCTACCTGTTGAAATTAAGATTCTTACCTTCAAAGGGTCTTTCATCTGAGAAACAACCTCTGATGGTCATTGTGAATTCTTTTACCCTCATTTTGAATTGAGTATTAAATCTTACTGTGTATCAGAAATGGACACATATATGACATACATTTAGCACTAGCAGAGTGGAAATTCACTCATTCATTCAACACATATTTATTGAGCATCTTTTGTATGCAGCATCATTTTAAGCACTGGAGATACAACAGTGAACAGAAAACACAAAAGTACCGCTTCTGACAACACACAATACAGGGGAAGTCAGCACAACTGGACTAAACCTAAAGCTAAGAAGTTTCTTGACTACAACCAAACACTTCAAGGGACAGAGTAGCAGAGGCGGGGGTCTGGGGACCACGGTTTCAGCGGACAAGGTTAACTGACATAACAAAGTTTATTAAGAAGATGTTCTGCATCCCATTTTGGTGAGTGATGTCTGTGGTCTTAAAAGCCAGCGAGCGGCCATCTAAGATGCATCAATTGGTCCCAACCCATCTGGAATAAAGGAGAATGAAGAACACCAAAGACAAAAGGAAAATATTTGCCCAAGAGACAGAAAGGGCCGCATAAACCAGAGACTCCATCAGCCTGAAACCAGAAGAACTAGATGGTGGCTACCACCAATGACCACTCTGACAGGGAACACAACAGAGAGTCCCTGACAGAGCAGGAGAATAGTGGGGTGCAGAGCTCAAATTCTAGTAGAAGGCCCAGACTTATTGTTCTAACTGAGATGGGAGGGACCCCGGAAGACATGGCCCCCCGACTTTCTGTTAGCCCAGAACTAAAACTATTCCCGAAGCCAACTCTTAAGACAAGTTAGACTGGACTATAAGATATAAAATGATACTTGTGAAGAGAATGCTTCTTATCTCAAGGAGATACATGAGACTAAATGGGCAGCTCCTGTCCGGAGGTGAGATGAGAAGGCAAAAAAGGTCAGGAGCTGATTGAATGGACACGGGAAATCCGAGGTGGAAAGGAGGAGTGTGTGCTGTCACATTATAGGGAGCGCGACTAGGGTCACATAACAATGTGTGTATAAATTTTTGTATGAGAGACTAACTTGAATTGTAAACTTTCACTTAAAGCACAAAAGAAAAAGAGAGAAAGGTACCCCTTCTTATAAAGCTTGCATTCTAGTGGGAGA